TGCAGCGCTCTGCGATGATCTAATGAGAGTCCAGACAGACATAAGATTTAGGAGTTGGGGGAGCTGCTCTCATCAAGTCCAGTTCTCCCTCTTTTTCTTTATTTATCCATTGAAAGAAACCACATCACCCATTCACACCTGTGAATTCTCAATGAACTTCATTGATGGTCACTAAACAATTCCTTACGTTTTCAGCAAAGCGAACGAACAAAATCAAGTATGTTTGGATATTGTTTGTTGTTCATGAATTTTAAGAAATTTTTCTGGTTCATATCAGCTCATTTTATATTACATCTACTTTTAATTTCATTATGAGAATGTTCTATTGGAAAGCTAATGCAGAATTTCATGTTGACGTATGCCAGATCAAAGAAACTGGAACTTAAGAAAACATCGGAAAATAGGAAAAAACGCTGCACAAGTGCACAAAAACCTCACGAAATACGACCCAAGTGTTTCTGGAGAGACAAAAATGTGACGAAAAAGTTGCAGAAATGACAAACTAACAGTAAACGGGTGATAAAAAACATATATCTACAGTCTTATACGAAACACACATTACTGATATGCTTTAGTTTCTGTCCCATTAACGTCTCCTCCAAAACACTTCTGCTGGGCTTTGTTGTGTTCTTGTATTTATTGTTGTAAACACCAGTGATAATGTACAACTTTTGAGAAACTTGAAATGCATGGCTTCTACAGTTTTCCATGCGTAATGGAGAACTTTTAATGACAGTGGCAGTGTGGTTTAATGCTCCAATAAAATGCTAAACATCATGGCTAAACTAGCCCACTGCTCTGCTCTTAGCATCAAGCACTTTTTTCTGCAAACGTCTCCCTGCGTTACTTTGTTGAGTTTAAAAGTGGCATATAATGTGTAGACATGCAAAATGGTATTGTGCGAATGCCATTGATAATGTCATCTTTCTTGCAGAGAAAGACTTGGAGAAGGGCCTCAGTGTTCCATTTAAAATCTTCGGTTTGGTCTCTTTCACCTTATTTTCTTGTTGGGCCTGTCCAAAAGACTAACAATTCCAAGAAAAGTCCTTATTTTCTTTCTCCTGATTTTTTCTCCCTTTCTTCTTATTCTCTGTCTCTTTGGTATTTCCCACTTCCTTAGTTCTGTAAAGCTGGGACGGCTGGAGATTTTACACCCAATTGGTTGAGTTGGGGGCCTTTGTCGGAGCCCTTCTCCAGCTCCACAAGTGGCAGAAGGGACCTGGGTTCTGAATGGCGCTTTGTGTACTGTTTTTCTAAGAGGGGGCCCTCTCTCTCCCGCTCTCATCTGTCACAGGTCCCTCTCCGTCCACGCTCCACAATGCCTGATTGTTTCTGCCAAGTCGCCAGGTTCCAGGCCAGATCTGAACAACGCTTTCTTGCCAAATACCGACCCTGGTTTTCGTTTTTCTTCCACACACAAAGGGATTCTAAGTTACTGTCCACGTTTTAGAAGGAGACTTAGATAGCTGTCCACCACCAGCACTTTATTTGCCGAGTGCATTTGAGAGCTAAAGGTTGTAAAAATTTCCATCGACAGCAAAGGAAAGAAAGGACCATAAACCAAAAAGGAAAAATTGCTGGGCATACATTTATTGTGATTATTAAAGACAGTAGGTGAAAAACGTGCATATTACAAAGATTTAATAATGATGCTATTAACAGCTTGTTGGATTCCTGGAGTCACATTAAAAAACAAAAACAACAACAACCAAAGCAAACACGGAAAACAAAGCAGAAAAACTATAAATGCACGGGGATGAACAATTAAGACTTCTCATTCAACAGTGCATGCTCTGTTCAGTTATCAAACAGGCAATCTAACCAGTATCACTTTCCAAGAAACATCTTAGGCAGGAGAACCGTTTCCAGGGGAAAGTCTTGATGTTTTTCTAGATATCTGACAATATGAAAAGGCTTTGGGAGAGCCTCGGAGTGATGCCTGTGAAAATGAATTTGTTTTTCAGGTACTGGTGTAACATTACCATCACATTAGTGTTTCCTGAGAGGGCCTCGGCATAGGAAGACTTTCTTTTTTGTCCGTCTCACTGGGGGAAGGTTGTTTCTTTTCAGTCATAATAACTCAGTTTCTGCCTACGTGTCAGGCGACATTTTGTTAATGAGTCGTGTCGAGACCAAAAAAAAAAAAGCTGCTTCTGTAAATTAGGACACATAAATGTGCAGACGACTATGACCATACAGCTCAAAGACAACAAGGATTAGTTATTAGTTATAGAGCATAATTGATTTTTAACATATACTGTCATGTCCAGCTGTCTAACATGCCTAAAAAAATACACCTAACTCTCCAAGTCTCTTATTGTCTTTAGAAAACAGTGGCACAAAGAAAAATGATCACATGTTTTTCTTTCATTCTGGCTTCAATATTCAACACTTTTCTTTCACTGTGATGGTTTTATTGCAAATATAAAAATGTGTTCATAGTTTCATAGTGTAGCTTTAGAAGGTAATGTGAAAAATGTAAAAAGTCAGCCACATTTCTGTCATGCACTAAAAGAATCTTTTTTTTTTTTGGTATAGCATGCTACTCTGTCTAATGATCAGGTCATGAAATACACCGTTTTCTAATCACAAAAGACCTGCTTGCCATGCTTACCAATAAACCCTTGTACTGTTGCATGGAGAAACCCAATCACTGGCAGTTAAGAGTCTGGGCATTCCTGGCCATATGAGACACCAGTTCCAAGAAACTAAGTCTTAAGCTCCCTCATAAACACAGCACCAGCAATATTGTCAGCTAAATATAGGCTGTCTTCTGTATTCTCCCTCCCCAGTTGCCCATCGCTCTCTCATCGCTCCAGTTTGGATAACCTGAGTTGATCGTGGATTATGGTTTGCTGTTTGTTGGTTGTCTGGGCTCTTACACTCATATCGCTGTGTAATACAACGAAGGCCTGAGAAATTCAAAACCCGCACTCTTCTACTGAATTTAAATCTGGCTGTGAATGGATGGCACTGCTGGCCAGTTGTAAAAATGAATAAAAACCTGTACTTTGAAACCTGGATGACTTGTAAAGAAGGCTCGTTAGACTTACTTAAAATTGGGTTTGAAAGCTTGAAAAAAAAATCATCTGGATTAACCTACATGCATCAAATAAACTGCATTTCATTACTGCAGTAAAAACTGCAATAATAAGGTTCAGTAAAGTAAAAAGTAACAAGAAAAAAGCAACATAAATGAGAACAGGTATAGAATTTCTCAGTAAAATTGGTTACATTGTATTTCTGATGGGTTTCAGTCTATAGGACTATCATGGACTATTAATGGTTATTAACATTTTCAGGTCTCACTTTTCACAGCATGCCACTATCCACCCTCCTCTAATTTTTCCTGCATCGCAGAGTCGGTGGAAGCTGCGTTCCACCAGAGGTAGTAAGAGACAACATGCACTGAACATTACGACCCTCGCATTCACTGAGCAAATCACTCAGCTACTGTACACACAAATAGACACACAACAGTTCTCAAATAATCAGTCTGGACCTGCGCTGGAACTGAGCTTCCCATTCCTGTCCTCTCTATCCTTTTTCCGGTCTTTGCATTTTTATTTTTTATTTTTTTGCTCCCTCGATTCATTTCACTCTTTATTAACTGCTTCTATCTATTAAATACTTTTTCATCTTCTTCTCCCTCCTCGTGCATTCAGACTGCACCCCCGCTCCGCCCTTTCAGACATTTGACTGAGGGTCAGATGTAACACTTAAGAGCACCCAGGAGGCTGCGTATATCAGAGAGACAGCCTGCTCTGACTCACTGAGCAGCCGATGCTGAAGTAGTAATCAGTTTTTCACTGAAGCTGTGTGTATGCATTTGCGTGCATGTGTGTGGAAGGGTGGGTGGCACCGGCTATAGTAATCACAGCAAAAGCAGCTCAGAGCAGGCTGATCCATCAGTTGTCACCTAACAGTTTAGCTTAGATTTGTGTTTATTAATGTAGAATTGTTTATGTATTTAGTGTATTTGCGCTTGTGTGTACTCGTATATATGTTGAGGACAAGTGAGCCCGTGTTTAGATTAGACCTCCTTTCGTCTAAGCCCGTAGGAAGGCAGGGTTTAGCTGTGGTCAGCAAATGTCCTCACAAGTAAAGTCAAATGAAAGGAAATCATTACAGAAAATGATGCATTAGCCTGGCGACTCAGTCTGAGACTAATATTAGAAAAAAGTGAGATTTTTCCACTTAAACTCGGCAGCCTATAGCGTCTGCTTTTGTAACAGCTCCGAGGTGATGAGAGGCCTTGATGCTGCATAATAGATTAATAGATTATCCCCACGAGAGTGGATTTGTGTGTGTTTGCCCGCTTGATGTACATTCAGGATGAAAACATGTGAGTCGCGCTGCATGAGTGCCTGAGTAAATACCAAAAATATGATATGTACTTTAAATTGTTTGTGTGTGACTAAACCATAATTACATGTTTCACATTCATGTCTCTGCATTTAAATAAAGTTGTGGCTTTGAATTATCGATTCAAATGCATGGTTGTGAAATGATCCAACAGTGTTTTGTGGCTTTTTTTGTGCAGTCAGTGGTGGAAAAAAATAAAATCTAAAATTATTTAACACACTAAAAGTAGAAAACTGCATTTTTGGCACAGTTTGATACTGATGATACTGCTAATTTACACGAACTAACCTCCAGCACTTAAGAAGAGTCCAATCGTGATAATATTGTTATGAAAAGAATGTCTGTCAAAACAAAATGTAACAAAACACTTTGTGTCTTTTGTTTTGGAGCATTGCTCTATTTTCCCGTGCTGGTGTGTCATTGTTTGCAGTTTTCCACAGAAAATGCATCACGGTTTCCAGGAAGGTTTTGGCTTTAGTCTGGCTGGTGACAAATATCTTTTAGTCTTTATCATTGTGAGAACAGCAGCACTAGTCGGCAGCTGTTCATGTGTCACTTCAGTGAGCATCCATCCTGGTAGACATAACTGCAGTTCATAAACCAAAGTTAAACCCTTAATTTTTTTTCCTTCCCAGAATGATGTCTTCCATGCGAGCAACGCCTCCCTTTCATCCACCGCCCGAGGAAGCAGAAGTGATTGGTCAGGACAGTGCAGGCTGGGTTGGTGATGAGCACGACGGCCCAAAGGAGACGGTGTCGCCTTCTTTGCATGACCAGTCCCACCCAGATGAACTGCAGCCAATCAGAGAGAAACCAACAGACGCTGAGTGGGAGAGTGTCAGTCCTGCTGTGATGGTGAGAAGTGAATTAGGCCAAGAGCTTAGAAACTGACCATAATACTATAACTCAGATTCACACAAATGTGGGTGCGCACAGAGTACACACTCGGGGCTCACAAATCATAAAACACCTGTGAGAATATATGCAGGAATACATAGGGTGTGCAAATTCTCATGCCTAATGATATCTTTGCACTATTGAGTGAGCACAAGGTGTAGTGGACACACACACAGACACACACGCATGCACCGGTAGTTCTTTCTGACCTGTGTGCTACAGGCAGTGCTGCAGGCAGCCCAGTGAGGGATCTCGTTTAGAGAGTTATACCCCTGGCCTCCTCTCATCTCCACAGCCTGCTTTGGTGTGTGTGTTTGTATGTGTGTTTGAGTGTGTCTGTTAAGGTGTTAGTTACTTGGCTTCAGGTTCTGTGGGTCCCTAATGGACAAAATGTGTTTGGCTTCACCCTCTGAGGAAAGGGGAAAGTTTCCTCTGGTATCATTGTTGTGGTAGAGTTGAATATTTTGGTGAAAAATGTCCCATTTTTTAAAATTACTTGCGTTACTGAAGCATGATTATGGCTCTTTAGATATTTTGAAATTGTTACTCAGTTATACTGACCCATGCCCAGTGCACAATAAGAGCTGTAAATGCAGTAATTCATTAACAACAATATTCAAAAACCTGACTTAACATCGGTATCAGACTTCAAAGTTGCCTGAAGGCAAAACTTTTCATGAATATTTGAATTTTCACTCTATATTTTTTTCCTTTTTTCTCTCTATTTTTATCTCCAACTTACACACTCACATGTGTAACCATTGTCCCTCATGGACCAGCACAGGACACTGGTGAAAACCTATAACGAAATAATCTTTTCAAGTGTTCAGAAAGAGGACAGGTGGTGCTGGGTCAGAAAGTAACAAAGTGCAATGTTTCAAACTGTAAAAAGTCATAAGGTAAAGCTGCAACACTGCCCAAAGCAGCCACTGACCAGTGAAACATGGGACGTCCTTGTGCTGTGGACAGAGAAGGGTAAACGACCCTTCTTAACTTCATTGCCTCACCAGCCTCCAACAGTGAGGGTCAACTTAAAACAAAACTTTGTGATTCAAGTTTCTGATCTGAGAATCAAACATTACAGCTTGCACCACCCTGCTTGTATAACTCTTGAGCAGACCTGGAAAAAAAAGCCAACACACCTGAACAATCTGTGAGTGACACACTATCTCGTAATCCTCATTACAGAGGCATCTTCCGCTTAAAGACAAAGTGCACAACAGAGCCTCCTGGAGCCATTTCAAGGGCATCTTAAGATCCCGCTGTTAGCCAAAGCCCCTTGTCTTTGAAACATAAGCCTCCTAAAGTTCTTGGAGATCCCCCCACTCTGTAAGGGGAGGAGAAAGTATCCAGAAATAACCCCAGTGTTAGAGCACCTGTGCTAAAGTGTCGGATGTTGTGTGGGACAATGTGGTCATCCTGAAGGGCTTATCTTTAGATAATTATAGACTACTTGTGCCTCTTGCTTAACTCATAACCCTGCAGAGCAGACAACAGTGGGACACACACGCTGGGGTCATCCACCATAAACAACAAAAACCCATCAGATATAACGTTAGCTCAGCACTCAGTCACCTCCGACTTATTATCAGTAAACAGCAGAGAGAGCACCCGGAGGGTGTCCATATTGTTGCTGGGGACTTCAATAAGGCATGTTTGAAATCTGTGCTCTCCAAATTCCACCAAAATGTTAAGTGTCCTACCAGGGGGGACAGTACACTGGACCATGTGTACAGTAATATCAAGCATGGCTACAGCCTAGGACAGTCTGACCACCTCTCTCTGCTCCGCACCCCTGCCTACATCCCCCTCAGGAAACAAACTCCTCCAAGCACCCAGGTCATTAAAACATTGCCAGATGATGCTCTTCTCCAGCTACGGGACTGTTTTGATCTGGTCCATGGTCAATCTTAGACCAGCAGGACCTAGAGACCTTCACTCAGTCTGTCCCTTTCTACATTAAGTGCTATGTAGAGAATGTGACACTGGACAGGAGGGACATCAAACAGGTCAAGAAGGCCTACAGGAGGAGGATAGAGGGCTTCCTCCAAGTGTGGAGAGCCATCCATGCCCTCACCAACTACAAAGGCCAGAGCCCCCAACCCCCTGACAGCAGCCTCAAATTTGCAAAGGAGCTCAACACCTTTGCTCAGTTTGAGGCCACCCCTTCCTCACACCCCCTGTGCTCCACGAAGGATGCCATCACCATCACCCTTCACAGAGCACTGAGCTGTCTGGAGAACAGGAAGAGCTAGATGAGGATGCTCTTTGTGGACTACAGTTATGTGTTCAACACCATAATACCAGACATCCTCACTACCAAACTGGACCACCTAAAGGTCCCCCCTGCATACATATGACTGTACACCAACCTACCCAACCAGCGTCAAGTATGTCGATGACACCACAGTGGTAAAGTAGGCCCAACAGTGGCTGCGCTTCCTCTGTGTCCTGAGGAAGAATAACCTGGACCAGAAGCTGCTGCTGGCCTTCTACCCCTCTTCAGTGGAGTGTGTGCTCTCCTACTGGTGCTGGGTATGCAGGGGCCACTACTAAGAACAGGAAGCCTTCTCAGAGGGTAATCAACACCACCCAAAAAAATAATTGGCTGTCCTCTGCCACCCCTGGAGGCCATCGCCAGCTCCTCCTGTCTCAGGAAAACCAGGGCCCTATTCTATTCTATTCTATTCTATTCTATTCTATTCTATTCTATTCTATTCATTATCAAAAGGTCAGATTTTTGTCACCTTGACCAAAACAGGAATTAATTCTTATTCTAAAGAGAGGTATAAAACAATCATATGCATCACCCGAGATGTCTGTGTGTGACTGTAGGGTTAAACCTCGATGTGTAATTAATGAATATATTATGAATCTATTAAAGACACAAATCAAGGTTTTTCTCAGACTACTATAACACTTTACTGGCTTTAAATTATTCCACAAATCCACTTCCACCAGCACCAGATTGCATGTCTCTGCGGTCATGCTGCTCCTTACGTGTAAGCACCCTCAACTGAAAAAACACTTGCCAGGCTTGGCCTTCTCACAGTGTGTCTCAGTGGATTATACACACGTGACCCTGGCAGTATAAAGATATGTAATGGAGTATCACCATGTTGTTTTTGATGACAGATAGATCAAGTACTGTGCTCGTCATGTTCTGTCAGTTGCAAAATGCAATCCTAAGTCTGATATTTGGCATGTAGCACCAGCTGACCCATGCCCAGGCAAAGCGCAGTAGAGCAAATAAAGTACAGGCTCACTCCCAAATAGTACTACAGGGATACATTAAAGAGCTTTGGGATGCATTTGTCTGAGCTGTGTTAAAAATAAACTGTTGCATGAATTGAAATGCTCTCTCACAGATATGCAGTACTTAATTACTTTCTATGGCTCGTGGGTTTGAACTCTCATTTTCTATTTCTTCCAAGGACAATGAAAGCAGTAAAGGTGGCTCAGTCTACTCTTACCGGACTACCTCTACCTCTCCAACCAAGCCAGAGGAGTGTCCAAGGGATCGCGGGGAGCCTGTGATTGGCCTCGCCTTTGGGACGCCAGAGCGCCGCAAAGGGAGCCTGGCAGACGTGGTGGACACACTGAAACAGAAGAAGCTCGTGGAGCTGACCAAGACAGAGCAAGACGGTAAGAAAAAGGTCTTCAGTGTATATGTGTGTTTATGTGTGTGTGTATGTTTTATCACCAGTGGACCTGAATCTTTACATTTCAGGCTAGCCTTTTATTCGAAGCTGCAGGCTGTGGAGTAACACTGCTCTTCCACTTATAAACATTCAGTTTAGCTAACTTGAAGATAACTTTATACATCTAAGAAACAGCGCTGCTTTGGGTGGGTTTTTTGGTTTCACCTGAAGGGCTTTGGGGGAGTTTTAGTAGCTTAAATGAGTTAGAGAAATGGTCTAAACACATAGTGGAACATTTTTTTATTTATTTCAAACAAATTTTCCATATTGTCCATTTTCTAGTCCTACAATTGGTGAACTGTTTGTCTTCCATTAAAATAGATTTTAAAACTTTAGCAAAGGTCCTCATTTGTTGCAGGGTTAAGAGCTATCTAGATGAGTGAATATATCACAGTGATACATTAACACACTGCAGGACTGCATCTTTATTCTAGCTTTTCACAGAAGTGATGCAGTTTTTACTCAGTTTCCCTTCCACATAAAGCAACAACAACCTTTGCTCACCATTTTGTTCTCTTTTTTTCTGAAAACTTCCTCTCCAGAAGATCTTTGAACGTCTAAAATTACAACTGACAGATCCCTCACTCGTTAGATCACAGTATCAATCAGTGAAAACACAGGTTTCCCTTTCTCCGCTGCTCCTCTGATCTACACCTCCAACACGGGAAAGGGTTGGAGTCTCCCAGCGTGCCTCAGCTTGCCCTTTTCCTCCCCAAAGCAAACCAGATCTAAAACCATCTAACACCCCTCTTTACTATTATGTGCACATAGTAATCACGATAATATCAGAGGAGTGCTTGATCTCTCTCATTTAGAGGTTTCACTTTGTTATTGATACAGTAAAATGGGCCAGATTGGATGGCCTGAAGCGTTATACAGTCCACGGTGTCTTAAGCTCTAAGACAGGAAGCTTTGCCTCTCATATTCTGCTCTCATATTCAGCAGCAGAAAACACACACTCACATCTGTGAGTGTGGCTCTTTTTGATTTCAGAACCACATGTATACTTCTGATCAACAATACCCGACCTTGCTTACTGTACAATGACGTTGGCCATTTTTAATTCGTTTTGAAGTTTTCTAAACTTATTTTCCTGTTTACTGCGTGTAGTGATTGTGCAGCAACACAACAGACTTTCAGTAAACATAGGTCTTCATTGAGTTTGCTTAGGTTCCCCTTTTTTCCTCTTAATTACTTTTCATATCCCTTGTATGAGAGGAATATGAGCATGGTGTGCTGCATTCTAAAGCCGATATTCTTGATGTTGTGATCAAGTGGCTCTTGGCCCCTCTTGAAGTGTTTTTGTATGTTTAATTGCAACCACTTCCACCCCTTTTCAGCTTAGAGAAATATAACAATATTAAAAAAGTAAAGTCTGTTTGATCTTATATTAGTAGTATACAAAGAGACCTTTTACTACAGATGAGTGATTCAGGGCGACAGCTAATAATAGCATGATTAAATGATAAATTATTTAGAATGTTTTTTAGTTAGCAATAAATGAAATGGTGATTAATTGACAATAATTGGTTTGGAAACTATCTTGTAAAGGTGAGACTGATGCTTTTTAAACTTTATACATGGTTGTTTACTACTGTGCAGATCATCTGTAAAAACATTGGGATGACTAGTATCATGATGAAAGGCATGTCTAAAATGATGTTTAAAGTATGCAGTTGGTGTGATGAAACTTACAAGACGGATCCTGGAGCTCACAGTCCACTTCCTGTTCATGAACTGTGTAGCTTTGTTACTCGTTTGCTTTCTCTGAGTGTTTGGGTTGGTTTAAACACCAGGACTGCTGACGTACATTTACAAGATCAGGATCTGAGTTAGTCTTGCTTTCACAACAATAGTCTTGCATGTTGAAAAATGAAACTCCCAGTGTGTTAAAAATGTGAAAAACAAAATGGGTCCTGGCCAAGTGTCCATATGTGATGAGATGATGTAATAGGTGATAAGAGCACCATTGTGTGTATCTCTGATAGACCAGGCACTTCAACAAAACAGCAGTATGGACTTTTTGATGTTGCGACTGAGGACAAGTTTACTGATTGGTAAAAAAACCCCAAAACTTGATCACAAAACAAAAATAACATTTCCTCTTCATTAAGAAATACACATTGCGGTTTAGTGTAATTATTTCTACCTCTATGATGCAATTCCATCCATTTGTCCATCATTTTCCTAACTACTTATTCAGTTCAGGGTTGTGGGGCAGCTGGATCTCTCATATGGCGAGGAGCAGGATACATCCTGGGCAGGTCAGCAGCATCATCACAGGGCATCATGATGCGATGCATAATATACTGTTGATAAATTCAATACTTTATGCTCCATGAAATATGACAAGGAAATGTAATTATTTATGATTATTAAACATTGCTAATAATTATATCATTGTTTGTAACATAAAAAGGCTAGTTTAATTAACATCATCAACAATGATGGTTAACTATGGAAGCAATGCTTATGCTAAAAGATACAGTAATACTAGTAACATTAAGAATAGTAGTGATGTTTCAAAATCACTTTGATATTAAGCATCTCTATGCAGTACTAGCACTGATCATGCTGCACACACTTACACAAAAACAAACAAGGTAAACGTGTGCAGTATAACCAGGCACACTGAATCATACAGGGCTTGCTTGAATAGTAATTGTGTTTCAGGGCCTTGTAATCATTCATGCGAATTGCTGTGATCCTTGTAGAAGCATTGTAAAAATGTCTTTCATCCAGCGCTTTGGTAATGCTTAGCTGCGGAGACTGACGGGTACTTCTGCTTTTTTTTTCCTTAATGAATTTAGTCAAAAATGAGGTGATTGATAGAGGCTGAATGCTTCATCGAGTGAGCTTTCAAACCCGATGAGCAATAACGCTCCACATCCTTTTTCTTTTTTTCCCCTCATTTGTTAATTTGCTTGAATACTGCCTCCTATTTTAATTGCCTCTTTCTCTTCTCTAGTTGATTATTGTCTTTTTCCATTTATCTTTTCAGTTCATCTTCTTTCTATCCTTCAACTCCTGGAGCATTTCAAATCACTTCTAGCACATTTTTAAAAAATCCTTTTGCAACAGGCAACCTTGCTCACATCCTAAAATAAATCTTTGTTTGTGTTACTGGTGAGGACGAAGGATTCCAAATGCATAAGCTGTCTGATTTGTTTGTTTTGTTAAAAGAATGTAAAGCAGAAAGGAGTGCAAGGCCATTGTGGTGAATAGACCTATATACTGAGGTCTTGTGTGGAGTAGATCAGAGATAATTTTTTGCGTTATTGTATAATTCAAATATTCAGGAATTCTGCATTTGAGCCAAGTCTTTTTTTTTTCCTGGCTCTTTAGTCGCGCGTGTTAACTTTGACTCACACTTAAAATGGAGTTTGTTCAGAATGCTCTTACGGCCCCAGCAGATTTGATCATCGCCACTCAAATGGGAAGCACATTAAGCTCTGAACAATACTGCCCCACACCTTGTCCTCTGCCTCCTGCTGCTAAGGGCTCAGTCAGCTGAGCTCTCCCAAGTTAGATTGGCTGTGTGATCAAATGGAACAGACCCTATCCAACCACCGAGCACTCACTTAGCCTAACGTGGCTGACCCCTATGCACTGTGGCCCAGAGCTAAAGTGTGGATGATGTCGCTGTTAGCCCTCGTGCTGTGCTTACCCCCTGTCGGCACGCTGTTAGCAGTCTGCTTCTCAGAGGTGCCCTAAGTGCCTGTGACAGCTCTACTGAATAGACATGGCCTCGCTTTGCTATGCGTGACTTTATTTATTTATTTATATCTTCACACAAAGACAGCCTCAGCTTTTAAAAGCTTTATCAAGAAGTCTTTAAGATTGTGTCAGGTAGCAGCAGTATTTCCACACAGCTAAGTTGCTGAAAATGCATCATTTTCAACTACACTCTCACAACATGGGAGCCAAGAGGGTGAAGGTCTGGTGTTTTCTGGAGAATTTTGTATTTATGCTGAATTGTGCCTGTCTTATGTGAAGATTTAGCTACAAAAGCTTTCTGCATACAAAAGGGTTTCTCTATACCGTTAGAGCACTTATTAGACTAGTAGGCTGGTTGCTGAATAAAATGTTCACGGCCAGGGTGACGGAAGATCAGAATTAAACACACAAACAGAAAAAAGCAGGTCCTAGATTTGTTGCTGAATGGAAATACTCCATCCTCAGTCGCTTTGCAGCTAAAAATAAGAGATGGAGAGGTTGGGAAATAAAAGCTTGGAATAAACAATTACGGTAATAACCCAGACAATTCTCTGTCTCTGAACACTGATACATCCTTTCTCTTAGCCATTATTAATCTGAATTCACCTCATCTCCTTGAGGCCTCTTTACAAAAAGGGAAACAACACTCAGAAGTGGACACATTCAACTGAATGCCAAACCCAGCCATTCTGGGCTACTGCCTGGCAGACATTAAACCCATTCAAGTGTGCAATCAAGTTCCCTTCGTTTTGATGAGTGAATTATGATTATCTGTATTGTCATGCCTCCCGGGGGCAGTGTTGGAGTCTGGCATGGGGAAAGTGCCCTGGTGCCAACTTAGTCAGCCATCTAAATGTGCCTACTGCAGCTTTGGTGCCTGGCAAACACTTAACATCACTCTAATCCCTGCTTACACTTGAGCCTGTATGAATTACTGTACAATCCATGTCTTTCATTTGCAAATGAGATCAGGTCCAATTACGGCAACACTGCACTACTCCGGAGCGGTTACAAAACAGACACCTGTGTGACTAATTTATTACCCGACCCGTACTGGAGTTGAATTTAGCAACAAAAGATTCAATTCAATTCAGTTGTATTTATATAGTGCCAAATGACAACAGCAGTTGCCTCAAGGTGCTTTGTATCGTAAGGTAAAGACCCTATAATAATACAGAGACAAGTCCAACAATCAAATGACCCCCGATGAGCAAGAACGTGGCAATG